CCCCCTTTTTTATAAATATTAAAACATAATTCGTTCTAATAAAATAAATCTCCCTACTTTTTATTCAACTCCCGCGACGCTCTACGATTCTGTTAGACCGGGACCTGCGGTTTAAAGTGGATTTCGAACCACTCACAAACATCCATGGCATCACCGCGACTCGAACCCGAAACCTGGTTGTCTTTTCACATTGATTGCAATGCCGCGATAAACACAGAAAACCCAATGCATCCATTGAAACATATCGATATAATATGAAGAAATACACGCATGTATTAAGAACTAATCTATTATCACAGAATGTCGAATCGTGTCAAAAATATCAGTAACGTAATAATTATATTTTTAATATTAATTATTTATTGAAGTACATCGTAAGGTTTTCTTTTTCAATTCCTACCATTAGCTCACACTCTCCCTATATATATCTTGTTCAAATTTTCAATCTTTAATAAAATACTTTTTATACATCCTCTCACGTTCAAATGCATTTTTTTTTTGAACTTGTAGTGGAGGACACTGGATGTGAATACATTTTTTTTTTCAAATATTAGAGAGTTTTTGCATACCGTATTTTGGACGTCCGATAGCTTTTTCTCCCTAGCGCGCATGCTCATAGGAAACATTATTACAGATACGCATTCGTAATCTCCCATGAGCATGCGCGCTAGATAGAAAAAGCTAACGGACGTCCAAAATACGGTATGCAAAAACTCTCTATTAAATCAGTAATTCAATTTAATTAATTAATTTTATTTAAGTTGCATGTATCTACCAATAGATGGCGCCGGATGTCAGAGGAAAATTTCAACTTTATTTGTTAAAGGACTTTTCTTTATATTACTTGTTTTGGAAATCAAGTTGTAATAGGATAGTTTAGGGGGAGAACGTTTCTAGCATTAATAGTTAAGGTTAGTTAGGAATTGGTTCATGGCTCGTAGGAAGGCAGCGGCCATTCAGACTTGACTGGCTGGTCTGAAACTGACTAGCCAATATACTTGGCTGACGGGGTTGGCTAGAATAGACTGGCTGTCTTCTCACATTGGATTGAATAGCCGCGATAAACACAAAAAAGCCCAATAATATCGATGTAATACGAAGAAAAGACATGCCCGTATTAAGAACTGATCTAATACCACTGAATGATGAACCATATTAAAAATAATGCCAATAAAATAATAACTTTTGTTCTAATGCAGCTGGCAAACACTCAGTCTTGGATGCCTTAAGGCAAGCGCTGCACCGACGTTACTCACTTAAGACTACTCAGGAGGTGCGGATAGCTTGAAGATAATCTACGGACGCGGAGTTAGACTACCCCAGCGACGCTCTACGATTCTGTTAGACCGGGACCTACGGTTTAAAGTGGATTTCGAACCACTCTAAACATCCATGGCACCACCGGGACTCGAATCCGAAACCTGGATGTCTTCTCACATTGATTGAATAGCCGCGATAAACACAGAAAAGCCCAATAATATCGCTATAATACGAAGAAAAGACATGCCCGTATTAAGAACTGATCTAATACCACTGAATGATGAACCGTATTAAAAATAATATCAATAAAATAATAATTATAATTTGTTGAAACGTATTGTAAGGTTTTCTTTTTGTATTTAGTCTTGACATTGTATACTATTGTGCCCAAAAAGTAAGACCAATTTTTTTTTTTTTTTTTTTTCAAAAAATTCTTTATTTATTTTTCAAAATTTATTTCATCGTCTTCAAACTAACCCCCTCCCCCTCCGGACACAATGCACTTATGCCAACTTTTTCACCAATCCTCAATGCATGCTAAAAAGTCATCGGCAGGGATGGCCTTCAAAGCGCACATCGATTCACGTTGAATCTCTTCAATCGACTCAGAACGGTGTCCCTGGAGTGATTTTTGAGTTTAGGGAATAGCCAGAAGTCGCAGGGTGGGAATACGGTGGTTGTGGAACGATATGGGTTTCATTTTTGGCGAAGAATCAATGCAGTAAGAGATACAAAAACCAAGAGTTGTCTTTCCATAATGTAGCTTCTTTTTGCGAATAACTTCATGCAAACGACGCAGAACAGTCAAATAATATTCCTTGTTGACAATTTGGCCCGACGGAAGGAATTCATAATGCACCACTCCACCGTAATCGAAGGAAACAGTCAACAGACCTTGATTTTTTGAGCGACTTTGGCGTGCTCATTTCGGTCTTGCTTCACCTTTGTCACGATATTTATTTAATAATCTCGATGGGTACCGAAAACACTGAATGCGCCAGCTCACACCGCATTGATTCTTCGTGACTTTTTCGCCAAAAATGAAACCCATATCGTTCCACAAGCACAGTATTCACACCGCGCGACTTCTGGCTATTCCCTAAACTCAAAACACCACTCCGGGTAGACCGTCTTCAGTCGATTGAAGAGACCTTTCAAAAATCGCCGGAATCCGTTTGAGCGTCTGATAAAGCCAGGCGTAACTTAAGCACCAATGAATATTTTGATGTCAAATTTCACACAGATGTCAAGGACAACAACCTAAAACCTAAAAAAAGAAACCTGAAAACAACCTAAAAAAGAAAAACAAATTGAAATATCATATGGCCGGGAAATTTAAATTAAAAACTTTTGGACATAGAACTTGGACATTTTGGAAACTTCTTCTTACTTTTTGGACATTTTGGAAACTTTTTATTACTTTTTGGACATTTTGGAAACTTTTTCTTACTTTTTGTACATTTTGGAAACTTTTTCTTACTTTTTGAAACTTACTTTTTGGAAACTTTTCTTTTCTTACTTTTTGGACATTTTGGAAACTTTTTCTTACTTTTTGGACATTTTGGAAACTTTTTCTTACTTTTTGGACATTTTGGAAACTTTTTCTTACTTTTTGGACATTTTGGAAACTTTTTATTACTTTTTGGACACAGTAGTAGAACACATTATTTTATAGTTTTGTGGTAATTATTTTCTTTTTGTAAAACCTAATAATAGAGAGTTTTTGCATACCGTACGTTAGTTACCGTAGGACGTCCGTTAGCTTTTTCTCCCTATCGCGAATGCTCAGTTTACTATAGGCATGCGCGCTAGGGAAAAAGCTAACGGACGTCCTACGGTAACTAACGTACGGTATGCAAAAGCTCTCCAATGGATGTTAATTCTTCCTCTTATACGTATGGGACATTTTTACTGTATGACGTCCATTTTAAAACCTCCGATCTTATGGATACTATGTCCATCTATTTAACGAAGATTTGCAATTGTGTTGTTGTGTTCTGTATATAATGTTGTGTTGTTGTGTTCTGTATGCGCGCATGCTCATAGGAAACTGAGTATGCGCGATAGGGAGAAAAAGCTAACGGACGTCCTACGGTAACTAACGTACGGTATGCAAAAACTCTCTAATAAAAGTTACAAAGCCAATAAGAAAGTAGAAACGCCCATAAATACCCTACGTACGCATAAAAATAAAAATTCTGATGTCCTTTTTTTTTTTTTGACTAATTGCTTACCAATGAAAAAAATGTCCATGGAAAAACAAAGGCAAACAGAAGTAAAAAATAAAAAATAAAATCCAATACACAAAGTGTAGTTAAAATTTAATTATGAAACTCGTTAAGTTGTCATGTGCATACGAGAAGTAGAGCTTAAAACAGCGCAAAACACTTATTGAAATAAGAGAAAAAAAAATGTAAATAATTCATTTTAAATATATTAGCCATTCACTTAATTAAGCAACATAGACACTTCCTTTATTAAATGCTCCATCTTTAAACCATTTCGTAACGACTTATAAGCACAGCGCCCACTCAAATAAGCGGATTAGCTTATCATGACTTGTATATAGGAGAAAACTTATAATGACTTGAGCATTTCCTTGCGCAACACTTTCAAAACTTTGCGACTTCACTTTCAAAAGCTGTATTCCCTTTTCGCCTTTTCAAAATGTGTCTTCAATTCGCTTTTAGGATTAAAAACAGAATCTTAAGCTACTAAGTTGTTGTTTTTTGTTGTTGTTGTTTCTTATCCCACTTGGCTGGCCAAGCCCGCGAGCCCATATGGACTCATGATTGAAGGGGAAGGAAGCAGCTTCTGTTGGGATGGAGGCCCCCTTAGGTAGAAGTCTGACTTTGGCTCCGTGACGCTCTTACAGTCATAGGAGACCGGGACCTACGGCTTAAAGTGGATTTTCAAAGACTACAAACATCCATGGCACCGCCGGGACTCGAGTCGAAACCTGCGACACAGAGCGCTAGCCACTCGATCATTCAGGCCCACGTAAAAAATCTAACGAACATATATCCAAGAACGCTAATTTTTGCATTTTTAAAAACTTTGCATGCAAGTGAAAAAGTCCTAAACTTAAAAACAAAAAGAAGCCCGTGAGACTTCCCAGGCAACTGCAAAATTTTTCAAAAATGCGTCATTAAAGGACCTCTCCCCCGCCGCCCACGCAGCAGAAGAAGAAGCTGCGAAATAAACTGGAACCGGGAGAAAATGCAACACGAGAAGCAAGGGGGAGGAATACCCCCGTCTTTCTCTTACCTCGAAAATTTAACCCGGGGTCTCCAATAACACCGTCTGCAGCAGCGACGTTTTGTAAATAGCTGGGGGGGGGGGGAGCAGCTCCCGATGAATCTTCTTTAGCGCGGGGGTGATCGAAAGGGGGAGGAAGAAAAAAATAAAGAATCGTGGAGAACAAAATACCGTAATAAAAACGAAATTATTAAAGGGGAAGGGGGAGAAAAAACACAACAAAAATCATCAGAATGACTGACTGGAGTAGTAGGAAATAAATAAAATGTCGAAATGTCGCCAACCGTCAGACCCGTAGGTAGAAGTCTGACTTTGGCTCCGTGACGCTCTTACAGTCATGGGAGACCGGAACCTACGGCTTGAAGTGGATTCCGAACCACTACAAACATTCGTGGCACCGCCGGGACTCGAAACCGAAACCTGTGGCACCGAGCGCCAGAGCGCTAGACACTCGGCCATTCAGGTCCCAAATGTGTGAATGACAACGGCACGCGGTGTTCCCAGGTGGTCACCCACCCAAGTACTGACCGCGCCCGATGATGCTTGACTTCGGTGTACTAAGTATGCTACTAAGTAATGGATGTACAGTAGTACATCCGTCTGTGTGATGCGAATTCCAAAGTCCAAAAAAGAAAGACCTATTTTCAATTTAAAATTCCTGGGGCTGTATGGAATTGCAATTTTTTTTTTCTTATTATTTAGGTTGTTGGCACTGTCCTTGACATCTGTGTGAAATTGGACGTCAAAATATTCATTGGTGCTTGAGTCACGCTTGGCTTTGTGAGACGCTCAAACTGATTCCGGGGAATTTTTAAATGTCTGAATTAAGTGAGTGTTCGACAGCTGAATTATACACAAAAATAAACTCAAATAATATTCGACACAGTGGACTGTAATTAAATTAATTTCCTTTATTTATGCAGCCATCAAACTCGAAGATGAACTGCCACACGACCTTTCTCTTTGGTCGCAGTTGTTCAACTCATTTACTTACATTCTTTCTCTCTCTCCCTGCCAGACACCCCCACAGACAGGATATTTTTCTGGACATAGGGCGTTGACCTCCCCTATGCAGGGGAACCTAGGTTTCGACTTAACAGTGAGCAAAGAACTTGCATTCAATTTTGTTTGCGGAAACGCATAGAATGCTGCAGAAGGCATTCAGTGAGCATTCCTATATCGGAAAGGAATGTTTACGGTGGTATAAACAGTTCAAAGAAGGCAGAGAACGCGTTGAAGACGAAGAGCCCTCGACCGCAACCGACGATGTTCACATCCAAAAAATTAAAGATTTCGTGCTTGCAAACCGTCGATTTACAATTAAATGATGATGTTGGAATTTCAAAAGAATCTACCCATTCCTTTTTGGACCTCAAACGCATCCAATCTCGATGGGTACCGAAAACACTGAATGCGCCAATTCACACTGCATTGATTATTCGTGGCTTTTTCGCCAAAAATGAAACCCATGTCGTTCCACAACCACCGTATTCTCACCGTGCGATTAATTAAACTCAAAATGCCACTCCGGGGACACCGTTATGTGTCGACTAAAAAGATTGTCACCTTTGTAACGATATTTATTTAATAATGTCGATGGGTATCGAAAACACTGAATGCGCCAGCTCACACTGCATTGATTCTTCCTGACTTTTTCGCCGAAAATGAAACCCATATCGTTCCACAACCACCGTATTCCCACCGTGCGACTTCTGGCTATTCCCTAAACTCAAAAGACCACTCCGGGGACACCGTTTTGAGTCGATTGGAAAGATTCAACGTGAATCGCCGCGCGATTTTAAGGTCAATCCCTGCCGATGACTTTTCAGCATGCATTGAGGATTGGAAAGAAAGTTGGCACAAGTGCATTGTGTCCGGAGGGGATTACTTCGAAAGGATGAAATAAATTTAAAAGAATAAATAAAGAGTTTTTAAGAAAAATGAATAATTGGTCTTACTTTTTGGCAAAGAAGTACATCTACAAGAAAATATAACATTGAAAGATTATTAATAAAATAATCCCTTTCGAATCCGAAATATTAAAATCAAAATTCGTAATTACTAAACTGCTTTTAATATCGAATCACTAGCAATAATTTTATAATTCATTCATTTATTTATTTATTATACAGACATAGGGAGCACTAGAAAATGTTTTCAGAATTAATTATTGCATATATTGCAGAATTTCAAAAGGATCGGTCTATTCCATTTTTTGGCCTCAAACGCGTCCAATCTCGATGGGTACCGAAAACACTGAATGCGCCAACACACACTGCATTGATTCGTCGTGACGTTTCCGCTAAAAATGAAACCCATATCGTTCCACAACCAACGTATTCACACTGTCCGACTTCTGGCTATTCCCTAAACACAAAAACACTCTACGTTTTGAGTCGATTGAAGAGATTCAACGGGCGCTTTGAAGGCCATCACGGCCGATGACTTTTTAGCATGCATTGAATATTGGAAAGAATGGAATGGAAAGAACTTTGGCATAAGTGCATTGTGTCCGGAAGGGATGACTTTGAAGGCGATGCAATACATTTAGAAGAATAAATAAAGAGTTTTTGAAAAAAAATTACATTACTTGTTGTAATGTTAACCTAACAAGTAATATAAAAAAAACATTTTTAAAGTCAATTCCTACCTTTTTTTCACTCTATTGCAGAAAGTCCTGTATAAATAATTTTCATTCATTTTTTTAAGTTTATGTGCCGCCATCTATGGGTAGATGCCATGCAACTTAAATCTTAAAAAAACTAAAATTAATGAATTAAATTTAATGAATGAATTAACCCTTTGCACTCGAGGGCTCCGAGGGAGCGGAGCCACTTAAAATGTGTCTTCAAGCTCGAGGGCTCCGCTACAGAGACAATGCAAATAACACTATAAATAATGCCGTTTCTTTTAATGCGTCTATCAAACTTGCATGTGAGTAGGATCTCTTCACTGAAATCGCTTCGAGTTGCTGGTAATACGAATGAAAAAACACTTCGAGTGCAAAGGGTTAATAAAATAATCCCCTTGAAATTAAAAATATTAAAATCAAAATACGTAATTACTAAACTGCTTTTAATATCGAATTACTAGTAATCATTTTATAATTCATTCACTTATTCATTAATTATACAGACAAAGAGAGCACTAGAAAATGTTTCCAGAATTTATTATTGCAGAATTTCAAAAGGATCGGTCCATTCCATTTTTTGGCCTCAAACGCGTCCAATCTCGATGGGTACCGAAAACACTGAATGCGCCAACTCACACTGCATTGATTCTGCGCGACGTTTCCGTCAAAAATGAAATCCATATCGTTCCATAACCACCGCATTCCCAACCGTGCGACTTCTGGCTATTCCCTTAACTGAAAATACCACTGCGAGGACACCGATTTGAGTCGATTGAAGAGACATTTCGAAAACTTGCATGTGAATTATGATCTTTTCATAAAAATCGCTTCGAGTTTCTGGTAATACGAATGAAAAAACACGTCGAGTGCAAAGGGTTAATAAAATAATCCCCTTCAAATTAAAAATATTAAAATCAAAATACGTAATTACTAAACTGCTTTTAATATCGAATTATTAAGTAATCATTTTATAATTCATTCATTTATTCATTCATTATACAGATAAAGAGAGAGCACTAGAAACTGTTTACAGAATTAATTATTGCACATTAAAGAATCTTTTTATAAATATATTTGTTTGTATTTCAGGGAGAAATAAGTTTTCTTTGAGATTGAGAAGCAACGTGCCAGATGGTTTGCATTGTGACGAAAACCAAATAAAGAAACACGGATAAATTATTCAAATGATTAATCTTTTCAAAAAGGGCAAATTAATTAAGATTTTGCAAAAAATATCAGTTTTTTCTTTCTTTTGCGAGCTTCTCGAAGAAAAGATTTCGTATGAACAAAAGCACGATTTCAATTATGTTTCCATTTTTCTTTTAAAAACAGTTAATGCTCAGAAATGTGATGCTTCAATCAACACATTTGTGAAAACGTTTATTTGCGAAATTTGAATAAGTTTCGTTAAAAATGAAATAGGAATAAGTCTCAAATATAAAATTATAAAAAAAATTAACTTACAAATTAATTAATTATTACTTACTACTTAAAAATTAGGGCCTGAATGGCCGAGTGGCTAGCGCTCTGGCGTTCGGTACCACAGGTTTCGGGTTCGAGTCCCGGCGGTGCCACGAATGTTTGTAGTGGTTCCTAATAGGATCGTAGAGCGTTGCGGGGGCATTGTGACTCCGCATCCGTGGCTTATCTTCAAGTGACACGCGCCCCCTGGGTAATGCAAAGTGAGTAACGTCTGTGCAGCGCTTGCATTAAGGCATCCAAGACCAAGCTGTCTAATTGTTTGCCAGGTGCATTGGAAAAAAAAAAACTACTAAAAAATTACAATATATATATATTGTAATTTTACACGCGCAAAACAACACTAGAAAATAATATAAAAAACAATTTTTTTAAAGTCAATTCCTACTTTTTTTTTCACTCTATTGCAGAAAGTCCTTTATAGATAAAGTTGAAATTTTCCTCTTACAAGTGACGCCATCTATTATTACATACATGCAATTTAAATCTAAAAAAAAACTACAATTAATGAATGAATTAATGTTTGAAAAAACTGTATCAACATCGAGTGCCATCCACTACAAGTTTAAAAAAAAATGTTTTTGAACTTGAGTGGATGAATAAAAAGTATTTTATGAACAATTTGAACAAGATATATATATAGGGAGAGTGTTTCATGAACGATTGAAAACTTGAACAAGATATATACACTCAAGAGCCAAAACATGATGACCACCCCTACATTTTGCAATGAACTCGCCTGGATGACATGGAAGGCACGTGATGAGGTGGGAGTGATATTCAACTGGTATTAAGTGGTGGTATGAATCCATGCCAAGGCGGGTTGAAGCTGTGTTGCGCGCCAAAGGTGGGCCAACTCCTTATTGACAGGTGGCCATAGTGTTTTGGCTCTTAAGTGTATATGTATAATGTTTTATCGTAATTTTACAAGCGCAAAACAACATTAAATAAGTAATATAAAAAACACACAAATTTGTGAAAATTATTATTTGCTATATTTCGGTAAAAAATGAAATTCATTAAAAATGAAATACGAATAAGTTACAAATGTAAATTATTCAAAAATCAACTTAAAAATTAATTAATTATTACTTACTACTTAAAAATTACAATACTGCTGTGTCCAAAAAATAAGACCCATTCTCAATTTAAAATTCCCGGGGCTTATGACATTATATATATATTTTTTTCTTCTTTTTTTGGTTGTCGACACTGTCCTTGACATCTGAGTGAAATTTGGCGTCAAAACATTCATGAGTGTTGAGTTGGTTGAGTTATCGGACGATAAAAAAACGTTATTCAAAAACTCTCTGTCATTTGAAAGAAGCCATAACTGGAAATGTCACGTTAAGTCAATAGGTGGCGCTGTTCCTCAATGCATTCGAGGGAAAATATTTTATTTATTTATTTATTCTTTTCTTGGTTGCTGGCACTGTCCTTGACATCTGA